ACATCAATATGTATCAGAAAATGTAATAAAAATTAGGGGTGATTTCGGAGCCATTTTTTGGAAAAAGCATGGGCTGTAGGCAAACTAGGCATACCATATAGCTAGTAAATTTGGAGTGCAAAAATTTGGCGAATGGACCTCAATTTGCCAAATTTGCCTAAGTTTTACTCCACCAAATTTTCTAGCTATACTGTATTTTTCCAAAAATGTACTCCTTTTAAAAATGGCTGTAACTCAAGAAATTTTTGTTGGAATGAGCTTAATGTTAGACATTATGCATCATTATTATCAATAATGTATCATTAATCATTTTTGATTAATAATTATTATAGGTTGTGGACCTGAACTATTATCTCAAGTATCTCTCATTCATATACTGAAAATCTATTAACTGGGCTTAGGAACTAAGGACTCTTAACACAATCAGACTGGTTTAATAATTTCATTAATCTTGACTTGTCTGTATATAGTTATTACTCTAGATGTATACCTGAAGTGTATCAAACATTATTTATTGTCATTGTTCATGAATTACTCTCATTTCTGTTTATAAGTCATGGCACCCGCTTCTGCATTGATGGCTCTCGCAATAATTTCATTCAAAATTCATAATAATCAATTTTAATAATAAAGAAATTGTGTATGCATAATTGTTTAAACCAGGAGCCCATGAAAAATGCTGTATAATGTTCTACATTCATCTATAGTAGTAATATTGTATTGGATCTACTGTACATTAGCTGCTGTTCATTCATTATTTATAGGTATGGTCCTACTGAGCAACTCAAGTATGTTGGGATAGAAAGAGGAAGCAAAGAATAGACTATGTTTTATACACATGACTATTCTGACTATTGATGGTGTTAAAATACTATTTAGGTATTATTGCAAATTTAAGTTTAAGATTATGATCAGATTCAAATATTGGCCTTGCCCACGCTAAGCTTAATTTGCACTGTATTCCAAGAAGCGACCATAAATTTTCAACTAAGACCCAATCACTAATTAATGTATCTCCATCAACTTATAAATTCCCATTCGTTTTAGCTGTTAAATTTTATGAAAGAGGGCAGGTTTCACACCTTAAGACTTTAAAATTAATACAACATTAACTAAAAAAGCAAATAAAGAAACTACACAAAATAAAAATACTAAAATAATAGAATACTAACTAAAATGTAGCAGTACTAATTAAAATATCAAAAAAACAAACAATTTAATGAAATCTTTATACTAAAAATAATAGAAAACTATAACTAAAAGGCAGCAGTAATAATTAGAATATCAAAAATACAAACAATTAATCAAATCGTCATCCTTTTCAATGACTCTATTACTTGAGCCATAATAGGACGAGCTCTAGGATTAGCATTAAGTCCTCTTTGTATGAGAGACTTCATATCAGACCAGGAGACACTACCAGATTGTACTTCTCTCTCTCCTGTCGTCATTTCTGGGGGAGAGTACAATGTCATTTCCATAAGGAGAACAGTGTAACTGTAGACATCCATTGCTGGACTGTGTTGATCAGGATCACGAGCTTCTGGTGCAGCATATGCAACATTGCCTGGCATAACAGTACCAGTACTAGTGCCTTGTTGCAATTTAGCTGTACCATAATCTGCTACTTTAGCTTCATAACCAGCAGCTCCAGTGCAAGGCTTTAATAATACGTTAGGGCTGCTGACATCTCTGTGAATAATAGGCTGAGGCTTAAACAGGTGAAGGTAGTTGAGGCCTAAAGCTACATCTTGAGCAATACTCAGAATCTGTTGATTTGTTAACTTAGTCTCCTGAAGCTTTTTATAAAGACTAGTGCTCATCAGCTCGGTCAAGATGAGAGGATTACCCACTTTAGTTGCACCAATAAACTGGACCAGGTTAGGATGACGTACTCGTGATGCTATACTCATT